TGCGGCGCGTGCGGCGCGTGCGGCGCGTGCGGCGCGTGCCGCGGTGCCGAGGCCGCTCGCACGCGGCGCCGCGGCAGGCCGCGCAGCATCTCCTCGGCCCCCGGGAGCGGCAGCTCGTCGTCGCTCGGACGTCCACGCCCTGCCCCGTGCGTGTGTCGGCATCGTGCGTGTGTGCGTTTCTGCTCGCTGCTCCAGGACCCCCAACCTTTTGGGAGGGACCTCAGCTAGGAAGGCCAAAAACGTTATTGACCGGGGGCCTTTGCGCTGCAGATGTATCGAACCAGACCGCCCAAACAGGTCATCCCTAGTACGCAGAAGGAAGGAGGCCTCACTGAGGCCAAGTCTCCACTGCGTCATCAGGGTTAGGGGTCCTATGCTCCTCGATGACTCGCCGGTCCGCACCGAGAACAAAAACACGCGTCCGGGCGATGCCCGGGGCACAGGCCGCAGCTCTCCGTACCGGTGATAAAACAGGGCTAGGATCGGGATAAATCGCTCCAGAGCGTTCCGGAGCGCTCTCAGAGCGTTCCGGAACGCTCTGGAGCGGCCGCGGCGCCCGCTACGTCCTCCAAACCCGCCGATTCTCAGAGATTTCGAGCTATCCCGATCCGATTTTGTCCCGATCTTCGCGTCGTTTGACTCTCCGTGCCGGTGCGCCCTCGGCTCACCTCCCCCGCCCCGCTCCCGGCCTCCGCTGAGCTCCGAGCGGCGACCGGCCTCTGCTCCGCTCGATCTCCCCTGCCTCGCCGGCCTCTCCCTCGCGGGGGGGGGGCGTGCGAGGCCGGGCGGTGGCCGTGGCCACCGCCCATGGGGGGCCGTGCTTCTGCGGGGCGGGGAAACGACCACAGCCACTGCTTCTTGTTTACGCCGCCTTCCAGCCGGCCGAAAAAGAAGCAGTGGTTGTGGTCATTGCCATGGTGCCGAGCTCGACGGAAATGACCACAACCACTGCTTTGTCTCTGCGGGCTGGCAGGCGGCAACAAAAGAAAAGCAGTGGCTGGGGTCGTTTTTACGCCATGTAGCTTCGGCGACCTCGGCAGGCGGTGGGCACGGGGGCGCTCCGCCCCCGGCGGGGCCCGCCTATACGGCCACGCCCGCGGGAGGGCCCCTTCGAGGACGGACCCCGCGGGCCGAGGTCTCCGAGGCTGGATCCCGCAGGGCGGCGGCTGTGGAGCAGTCCCCGCCCCAGAGCGGGGGACGGTGGAGAGACGGGGATGGATCTGGCAGTTGCATCGGGGGCGGCCAAGAGGGGGGTGTCCAAGAGGGTGGGGTGCAAATCATGACCGGCGGCATGTGCGCGGCCCAGCGGAGGGGCCAGGGACGTAATGAAATAAGAAGAGGCGCCATAAAATCTGGGGAAATTTCATGGCCCTCGCCATGAAATCCACCGGCCCCCTGGTCATCACCCCCCTCTTTGCCGCCCCCGATTGCAACGCGAGGGCCTCGCACGAGCGGGCCGGAAAGCGAAGCGGCCGCCCGCTGCAGCGGCGGCAGGGCCCCCGGGGTCGCGGCCTGGTCGGGCTTCTCCGGGGCAGAGGCCGCGAAGGTGTGCGATCGGAAGGGCACCTGGCGGAGAGCGGGTGCGGCCCACGGCCGGGCAGTGAAGGCCTCCCAGATGGGGTCCGAATCGACGGGGTGCATCGACGATGCATCGGCGATGCATTGGCGATGCATTGGCGATGCACTGGCGACGTCGGCGATTCATCGGCGACGTCGATGTAAAACAAAACGGAATCCATCTCGAGCCGCATCGGCGGTGCATCGGCGACGCGGTGCGATCCTCCGACCCCATCTACTCGAACCCCATCTGGGAGGCCTAGGCACAAGCGCATGCACCAGCACTGGCCGACCAAGTGAGCGAAGAAATGCGATCCTTCCGTTTCTCTGCAAGGCCCAAATCCCTCCCGCGACAACAGTTCGACGAGCGGCGGTGAGAACTATATGATGCCCGCACCGCTTCACCAAAACTAGAGGCCTCCCAGATGGGGTCCGAGGAGACGGGGTCGGAGGATCGCGCCGCATCCCCGATGCATCGGGGATGAATCGCCGATGCATCGGCGTTGCATCGGCGACGCACTGGCGACGCCGGCGCTGCATCGGCGACGTCGGCGTGGCGAACGGTGGGCCCCACATCGAGCCGCATCGACGATGCATCGCCGATGCACCGGTGATGCGGGGCGACCCGCCGACCCCTATGCACTGCGGAGCGAGATGACATATGGGGCGATAGTGCGGCGAGCTGAAGAGGAGGAAAAAACGAGCAGAAAAGGGTGCACCCTTGTCTCCTACGCAGCACCTGCCATACCGAACGGCCCGCAAAAGACCCTTCGCTACTGCACAGTCAGCAATCAAGCCTGTCAGCCTGGCACGCCAAGGCGCAAGCCGACTGACGCGCTGAAGATTCCCAGCTGCTGAAAAAAATCAATGGGGAAGCAAGGGACATACGAGGGAGAAGGGCGGATGAGGGAGGATTAGGAGCGATCGGCCCCAGAATCTAAAATGCTGAGCTGTTCGCAAGCGGAGCTCGCCTGCAAGACGGTCAAGCAAACTTAAACGCCTTTGGGCGAATAGCAGTCGGGACGGCCCGCTGATTAGTCTCCGCCGCTGAATGATCCACAGCTCAGCTGTCAGCCTACTCGTCCAGGGGCGGTTGGCCAACCGAATGACGCTTTGAAGAACCTCCGCTGCTACGAAGTAACGATAGACTTAAGTCGGGCGTGTCCCGCTACAGGGGCATGTGGGTGAAAATTAAAAAATATTCAAAAAATACCATCCAATAATTCAAACAAACAAAAAAGTCCAACAAAATCCTCCCCTGCCTATTCTTTGACTATTTTTGAAGATTCCCCCCGTAGAGGGATGCACCCGACTTCACGATAGAGGCCCGGGGCAAAGGCGGGAGGTGGGCAACTGAAGGAGGATCGGGAACGACCTGCTCTGGTGCCCACGGATGCTGGTGGGAGGGGAGCGGCCCCTGGACGCGTGCCCGAGGGGCCCTCCCGGGGCCGCGCTGGCTTCGGGGCTGCGCGGGGGGAGCTCTCGGGCCCGTCTCGGGGGCCTTTTGGGCCGATCGCGGCGCCCTGTGGCTCTCGGGCAGTCTTGGGTGCACCTGGGTCGTCTCGGCATTACAGTGGGGCGGTATTTGTTTTTTTTTTTCTATAGGGGGGCGGTCTTGGAACCGTCCTGGGCACATCTTGTGCCCGTCTGCGGGCCCTCCTGGGATGTCCTGAGCCCGAGGGCGCTCCCGGGCGTCCTCGGGCCACGCTTGGCCGTATGTCTTGTGGGGTTGTCGTTGGCCCGTCCGTGGGCTTTGTTGAACCTTTTTCCTTACATCGTAAGTGTGGTTCTGGTTTTCTCTGCAGACCCTCCGCGCTGGATCTCTCCTCCCCTTTCATCGTCATCGTGCACTAACTCGAACTCACACATTCACTCACCATCGCCATTCCTCAGCATCATCATCAGCATCAGCATCATCATCATCATCATCAGCATCATCATCATCATTAGCATCATCATTATCATCAGCATCATCCTCCTCACCACCACCATCATCTCGATTGTCACAATCACACATCATCATCACCACCATCATCATCAGCATCATCATCGTCGTCATCCCTCTCATTACCACCACACGCTCTCACACACTCGTGCCCGCACCTTGAAAGAAGTCTCGAACGGGAGCCCCCTCCCTAAGAGGCCCGCACGTACGTTGATATTCCGAGCGGGTCATCGGGATCATCTGCCAGGCAAAACACTTGAGCACCCAAATTTGTAAATCGTGAGGATGTCTCGAGCGAGGGCCTCGTGAGCAATTCGCGAGGAAGTCTCAAGCGGGAGCCACCTCGCTATGGGGCTCGCAACTCCGGTTGGTAATCCGAACGGGTATTCCAAATCATCGACCAGTCATCGCACTTGAGATGTCTCGAGCGGCGGCATCGCGTGCCATTGTTTTGAACACCGTAAGATCTCCTCTCTTCTTTGGTTGATATAGGTTCCACCCCCACCGCCCTCCCGGGATTGCCACTCCCCCCTGGGGTACTGCAGTTTACGTGCGTTCCCGCCTCCTCGTTCATTTTCCACGCGAACTCACAACATTCCCGCACGCTCCCGGCGCCGGGTTCCCTCATCCTTGTCGAATTATATCATGCGGCGCGCGCGTTGATCCAAGATGAGCCGAAGGCACGAATCCCTATGAATTCACATCACGCGGGCCACGTGCGCGCGCGCAAAACGAAATCCTTCCAAATCCCTCTGTTTTCCGTCGCGATTCCATCGTATCCACATCAAGCACGTAATGGGTTTTGAACAGAAAGTTTTCAACGTGTCATCCAGCGCGCTCTTGCGGATTCCTCGGAGACCAGATGTTTTATGTTTCAACTTTCCTGTCCAAGGAGGCCATCGCGCGCGCGTGCCGAAGTTGTTCGCATGCCCTCGCGCGCTTGCCAGAGGCATGATCCCTGCCAGATAATTACATGCGGGGCACAGTCATCGTCATCATTGCCGTCGGAAGCGTCGGGATTATCATCGTCGTTTGTCGACGCCGTCGTCCGCGCTGTCTCCCGCAAGTGCCCGCGCGGCGAGCGTCCGCGCGCCAATGAACACGATGAACTTATATATCGGAGGAACTCCATGCTGCAACTGCACTCGCGACCTCATGAGTTCCGCCAACCACCTCATCGTCGTTCGTCGACGCTGTCGTCCGCACTGCCTCCCGCAAGATGGACTTTGCCCGCGCCACGAGGGTCCGCGTGCCAGTGAGCTCGATGAAATTTGCGGACAAGCTCCACGTTGCAACTACAATCTCGACCTTACCTGAGTTTTGCCGACCAAGATGCGGGCGGGAGGGTGGGATGTTAGCGCACGCGCGGGAGGTGGTCGCACGCGGTGCAGGGGGGTCAGTAGCACCGCATAGATTACACAACCTACATTGCAACACCTGTTAGTACCACCTAGATTGCGCCGCGTAGATTTCAAGAATCAGTCAGAGTTCCACGCTGGCTGACACGGTTTTTCTCGAGCGTATATTGGCCGTCTACGGCCGCCTGGTCCTCACTCGGGGCCGAAAGAGCGACCCGAGCGGGCGAAATCTGGCCCTGGATCGGGCCAAACTGGGTCGGAAGGATGCGTCGGAAAAGCGGGTTGCCCTTGGGCCTGGGGAGGCTGGACGCCCGTTGCATCATATGAACCTCGACGGCCATCGGGGACGCCAGGGCCCAGGATTGGCTTGGCGAGCGCCGATGTTGCTGAATAACTGGCGTCCTGCGATCGAGGAGCGCCGCGCGGCTGCCGCTGGCAAGCCCCAGTGCATCCAGCAACATCTGGCACACGATTGCCTCCAATGACGTCCAAGCCCGTGGCTCCGTGGAGCCACAAGCGCAGCCGAGGGCGCCACGCGCGGCGCGGCCTGCGACAACAGGGACAGGAAGGGCGCGCTCACCGAGGCGGTGCAAGAGCAGAGATCCGCAGACGATGGGCCGCGGTGGCCAAGAGAGGGCTTCGAGAGCGTGGCTCCGAGTGGGCTGCACGCAAGAGCGACCCTGGGTAAGAAGTGACCTTCGGTGCGCGGTTTCCTGGGGGCCGCGTGGGCACCGGGCACAATTTTTGCGTCGGCGGCTGGGCGGAGGGACTGCGCTGGCGAGGAAGGCAAAACGGGGGCGCTGGGCGAATTAATTCAGCCACCATGCAGAAGGAGGGAAGACAACGACAAGGCGCCAGTCCGGGCGGGCACCGAACACGGGCGGGCCCGACCACACAAAACCTTCCACGAGAAACCCGGCCCTGAGACCCCATGACGTCTACTGACTTTCAATGTGGGAACGTCGCGCTCTCCATCGCAGCACCATCGAACACACAAGAAGCCCAGAGCACCCTGGAGGCAAGCAGGGCGTTTCTTTGCATGGACCCCCGCATCGCGTTCGCGATCGGGGGGGCCCCAGTGGGCCTGAACCAATGCCACTTCAGCGAAGGGCCACGTGCAGTCGACCCTCCGCCGCCTGGCACTCCACTCTGGCGGCCGGCGCAGCGCGCACCCGGGACGTGCGACCGGGCTGGTCACGAAGGCGCGGCGCCGCCCTGCGGGGGCAGGGCGACGACCAGCTTCTCCAGCCTCTCGAGCGCGGCGCTGACGGCCCCGAACTGCCTCCCGACGTCCGCCCGGAGCGCCCCGAGGTCCGCGATGAGCCGGTCGGCCTGGCCGTCGCCCATCCCCCCGTCCAGCCGCGTCGCAGCCGCGGGCTCCTCCTGCGGCGGGCCCCGGCCGCGCCCCCCTGGCGCCGCCGCGGGCGGCTCGGCCTCCGCAGCGCCACCGCCGCCGAGCCGCCGCCTCCGCGCGCGCCATGCCTCCTGAAGCGCGCACATTGTCCACCACCGCTGCCACAGGTAGGAGGGAGGAGAAGGGAGGGTGGGGAGGTCCTCCTCCTCCTCCTCCTCCTCCTCCTCCTCCTCCTCCTCCTCCTCCTCCCTCTCCTACCTGTGGTAGCGGTGGTGGAGAATCGCCCCTATCATCCTGCAACGCCACGGCGGCGAAAGACACGTACATGTGCCCCGTCCTCACGTGCTGCAGCGCGCGCCTGCGGCGCGCCTGGAGCCGGAGGCACTCCGCCCGCAGCACCCGCCGGAACTGCGGGAACTCCGCCAGGAGCCCGGCGCCCGCGGCACCCGCCGCGGCGCAGAGGTCCTGCTTGTGCAGGAGCAGCACGCAGCCGCCCTGCTCGCACCGCACCGTGGCGGTGCGGTTCGGCCCCAGCAGGAGGTCCTCCCCGAAGTAGGCGCTCCTGCCGACGAGCTCGTAGGGGTGGAGCCGCTGCTTCAGCACGTGCACCGCGGCCCGCAGGGAGGCCCGGCCGTGCCACTCCTGGGGCTCGATGCGGACGAACTGGGTTGCGACGGGCACCTGGAACTGGAACTCCACCTTGTCGTCGCGGTGGGCAGCAGGCTCGGGGCCCGCCTGCGCCAGCGGCACCTCCTGCCACCCCTCCACGCCGCCGTAGGACGTGTAGACCTTCAGCCTCGTCACCCACTCGTCCCTCTTCGGGTGCCCCTGGACGACAACGCCGCACGCGCTCCTCACGCTACCCAGGTTGATCTGCAGCCACTCCCTCGCCTTCGAGCTGTCCAGGGACCACGCCCCCCTGCCCTGGCCGAGGGCAGAACATGCGCTGGCACCGGCGTTTGGGCTGCTGTAGGACCGCCGGTTCTCCCCGGGGTTCACTACGGCAAGCGTCCCACCGTCAGCCACCAAGTGGTACTCCAGCCCGGACGTCGCGCTGAACTGACTCTTCAATGATGTCCTCGACTGTGAGGCCGCGTTGCTATCCATACAGGGCTTCTCCGACGCTGTTCGGCCCATGCGCATGCCCATGGTCGCCGTGACAAACTTGATCCCCATGGTCGGGCTGGCTTGTCGGGCAACGTTGATCTCTGCGGGATTGCCGGGCTCCTTCGCGGCGTCCACAGCGCCGGCGCCAGTGACCTCACAGACGTAGGCGAAAGTGCCAGACCTCACGAGAAAGATGTTGAAGGCATGGTCATGCAGTTCGTACACCGTCTCCCCAGCCTTGTACGACCGCTGGCAAAGCACCGTCGACATGAACAGTGGGAAGCGAGGTGGCGTGATGCCGCTCGTGCAGCTGATGGCGCATGTGGTCATAAACTTGTTCCTGGCCAGCTGCCCGTCAAACAGCCGATCGGGGAGCTCCCCGAGCAGCGAGCGCGGCATAATGCCGCTCGTGAAGAGCCTGCGCATGTCCTCTGGGTCGAACGTGCTCCTCCCCGATGGCAGGCCATCCACCCAGCGCGTGAGCCTGCTCACGGTGTCGCGGTCCAGCTGCGTATGGCTGCTGTACGCCTCCAGCAGGCCCATCCTGCTCCTCTTCCACCTAGTGTCCTCGTCCACCTCGCTGACGATAGTGATCACCTCGCCGATGATTATGCTGTGCAAGACGGCGCCGATCATCATGACGAAGACTACATAGATAATCTCGCCCACCTTGACGGGGTACATGTCGCCGAACCCGACCGTGGTGAACACAGTGAGGATGAAATACACGGAGGTGGCCCACAGGATGTGGGGAGCCTCAGATAAGAGCGTGGCCCCGTCAATGGAAATGATCCTCCGGTTTGGCCATGTCTCTAGGTGATTCTCGTGCAGCGCAGCGACAAGGTACCAGCCACAGGCAAGAAGGTGCACGATCCAGCCCAGGCAGATGAGCCAGTTCAGGAGGCGGAAGCTTCTCAGCACCTTCAGCAGCTGCACCACCGCAGACTTCTGGACGAAGGCTACGATCTTGACTATCTGGAGTAGCCGCGCAAGCCGTGCCAGCCGCGTGACCCTCTCCAGTCGGGCTAAGCGGACCACGATGTTGGCAGATCCCCCGTAGGAGCATCCGCCCGGATCTATGCCCGTCGCCTCGATTAGCGGCGTGAAGATCTCTTCGGGGAGGCAGGCCAGGAGATTGATCCCGAAGTAGCCGCGGAGGTAATGCCTTATGATTCTGGAGGGCGCCGCAATCTCGATGTTATCCTCCCCGCGGTAGGTGAAAACGAAATTCAGGAAAAGGTCGATCCAAAAGAAAAATAAGACGAATGTATCAATGCTGTCTTCACGAGTTGACTCTGTGATTGCCTCACAGTCACCAGGAGCATGGAGCCGCATCTGGACGAATGACACCTTATACGGAAAAACGATGCCGACGTAGACCAGCAATATCGACAGAACGCATTCCCACGCCTTCCTAAAGCCGTTCGACTCTGTCATGACGAGCGGGCTGAGCAAGGCGAGCCGATCGACCCGTTCGTGCTCCTCTGGCCAGATTTGCGAGACCTGCTTTGGCATGCCTGGCGTGACTGTGGCATCGCGAATGTCGATGTCGCCGCCTGCATCGGCGCTGTCCCCGTCCTGCTGGCCCGACCCGAGCTCGAACACGTAGCCCGCCGCGGTGGCCGCGAGTGCCTTCAGCTTGCGGGCAGACGACTCCGAGGCCAGCAGTGGGCTGCGGCCCTGGCTCCTGGAAGCTATCCTGTCGGCGCCGCACGGGTCGGCATCGGGAGTGCACGACGTCCCTGGCTGAGACATCGGGGGGTCTGGCAGGCCCCGCCGCCGCGGCGAAGGGGTTGCGGCCGGCGCCCCCGCGTGGCAAACGGCGCCCGGCCGCCCCGAGCCGCCCCCGCCGGCAAACCTTGAGCGGGAACGGCTACGGGGGGCCTTCTTGACCGTCTTGGGGCCCGCTGATGCTGTCCTGGGAGACTCTGGGGCCATCGGGTGCCGAAGATGCCTGCCAAGCCGGCCGCAAAGAAGCCCGACACGGCCCCAAGATAGTCCCAAAGGCCCCCGAAGACGACCCAAGAGGGCTTCGAGAAGGCTCCGGAGAGGAACACCAGAGCAAAATTCATGAGTTCTCCGTTGTTTTACTTTGTGTTGCGATCTCGTTTTTCTGCCCTCCAACCATCGAAAAAGACCCAAGAGGTCTCCCGGGTCGCTCCGAGACGCCCCCCAAGAGGACTCGAAGACGGCGCAGGAGGGCCCCCCGACGGCCCAAGAATCCCTGGCGCCGTCTTGACACCCTCGTTTTGGCTCTACAGAGGCTCCAGGGCGAAATCGTACAAGGACGACCTGCCCGGAGGCCTCAGGCTCAGGATTTCCCATACATCTGTGTATATATATATATATGTTAAGATGATCATATATACACCTATACGATCTACATACAGACATGTGTGTGCGCGCACGTATGTCTGTATGTATGTATGTATGGTTGTATGGATGTATGCATGCATGTATGTATGTGTGTATGTATGTATGTCTGTATGTGTGAGTATGTATGTATGTATGTATGCATGCATACATGCATTTACCTATGTGTGTACGTATGCAGGTGTTTTTGTCTGGGTATGTATGCATGGATGTATGTAGATATGAGTGTATGTGCAGTTGTGTATGTGTGCGTGTATGTCTTCATGTATGTGTGTTTGTTTGTATTCAGGTATGTATGTGAGTATGTATGTACGCATGTATGTATGTACTGTTATATTGACATATGGGCATGTGCATGTTTATGTATGTATGTTTGCATGAACGCGTGAAGGTGTGTGCCTGCATGAATGTATGTATGCATGCATACATGGATGTAAGTGTGCTTGCATGAAGGTAGCATGTATGTATGATATGTATGTGTGCGTATGTGTTTTATGCATGTGTGGTTGTATGTATGTATGTGTATGTACGTATGTAGGTGCATGAGTGGCGGGTTATGCGTATGCATTTACGCATGCATGTATGCGTGCCAGCATGTCTATATGTATGTATGCAAATATGCATGCACGTGTGCATGTATAGTTGCATGCATGTACGTATATGTGTATGCATGTGTGTATATGTATGTGTGTATGCGTGAGTGCATGTGTGCGTGTATGAGTGTATGTATGTATGTCTATACGGATGTAACTGTGTATGTATACATGCATGTATGTGTGTATGTTTGTACGTGTATACGTATGCATGCATGCATGCATGCATGCATGACTGTATGTATGCATGCATGCATGCATGCATGCTACATCCATAACTGTCCACATTGTTCTACTGTTCTATGTGTCCGCGATCCGGGCATGGGAAGGGGAGGGGGGGGGAGGGGGGGGACCCCAGGGATCCGTGCCCCCAGGGGCCCCCTGGACGCCCCTGCAGGTGGTCCCCCGAGGTTTCCAAGGCCCCTGGGAGCCACTGGAAGCCCCTGCTGAGCCCAGGCAACGTGCCCAAATCGGTCAGGAGAGCGGCTGAATGGCCCCGCGAGGGCCTCAACAAGAGGCCCCAGACACCCACCAGAAGCCCGAAAACGACTTCAAGAAGACTTCCAAGAGGCCTTCGCAACGAAGCAAAACCATGCGCCCCATGGGTTGTTGCATGATCTAGAGGGGTTCTCTGTTCTTCGAGCTTCTGGGCGTCCGAGGCCGCCCAGGGGGCCCGAACATCGCGACACAGCTGCCCAAAATGGCTTCCAGGCAATACAAGGGAGCCCCAAGGCGGCCCAACAGGGTCCCAAGATGGCCCGACGAGTGCGAGGCCCACGACGGCCCAAGATGGCCCCTGGAAGCCCCCCGAAGCATTCCAATTCGGGAGCCAGTCGTTCAGGGAGACCGCGGTTGGGGGCAGGTTGGCCCGAGGACGCCCCCAAAGGCCTCCAGAAAGCGCCGGGGAGACCACCAGAATGCCACAAGAAACCCTTAACCTTCGTGGGGACCCCAAGAAGCTCTCCACGGAGGAGCTTCCGCAAGAAAACGAGTAGGGGAAGAATTTGGAAGGTGCGGCGGAAAAAAACAATGGAACAGGAAACATGAGCGAACTTTCATGAATGTCATGAGTAGGACGACGATCTTGTGTTTTTGCTGTCCCACCGATGGCTGATCAAACACTGGCGATACTTGAACACCCTCTTTGTCTCAAGGTGGCTCTTGGCCAGTGCAGTCTTGTATATACGTATATGTATATGCACAAGCACATACATATACACACACTTATTCACGAGAACCGCGCGCGTTTCTCGCGCTTGGGTTCTAGTCGGTTGCGCAGTCGTTGTCCGTAGACCTTACGTTAATCCACGAACCCCAAGCTACCAAGGGAGAGGTTCCCCAGGCAAGGGCCGCCCTCGGCGCCGCAACCGCCGCCGCAGTCGTGAAAATCGTCGCAGTGATTGTCGTGGTGGTGGCGGTCATCGTCTGTGGACGTGGTCGGACGATTGAACGTTCTGGGGCGTGTTGTGTTTTCTGGGGCATCAAGCGGCCTCTGGACTCTGGAGATCTGTGGGGGCCGTCGGCCATCGTCGATCGATCGTCGTCGTTGTGATCGTCGTCGGACATCTGGAGGCCGCCAGGGCTACTTGTCGCCACTCTGTCGTCGTCGCCGTGCGGCCAGTGTCGTTGTCATCGTCGTCGGTTTCGCATGTCTTTGCTCGGGGTTGGACGTGGTTGGCCTTTCCGTGGCCTCCCGTGCCAGAACTCGGGAGGCACCCCGAGACCTCTGGGGACAGTCGGGGGTCGTCGCCGTCCTCTTCGTCGTCCTCGACACCTCTCCACCTCTCCTTGCTTATGCGGTGTGATTCGGGACATCCGCTCGGACGTTCACGGAGAATCTTCGGGACATCGAAGTATATGTTTCTGGAGAGGTTTGAAGGACCTCCGTCACGGTTTGAGGAGACAAGAGATATTGACTTCTGCAGGTGTTTGCAGGATTCGGGGGCTCGCGCCTTTTCGGGTCGAGAGCGGCCAAAGACGGCTCTGATGGCCTCCGAGATCGCACCAACACGGCCCAAGAGGCTCAAAGGAGGGCACCGTGACGGCCCAGTGAAGGGGCCCTGGGACACACAAATAGATACACACAAATAGTAGGAGTCCCCATAGTTCCCCATATTTGCTGGGTTTTGTCTTCCCCCCCACTTCCCGTATTTTCCGATGTATTTAATCGCTTCGCTCATTCCGCCGGCCCATATTGTCGCACCGTTGTGGGCTAGCCGAGTTTGGGGGCCTCTTGGGGGCTGTTTTGGGGCCTCTTGGGGCCTCTTTTGGGCCTCTTGGGCGCCTCTTGGGGCGTCTTGGGGGCCTCTTGGGGGCCTCTTGGGGCCTTTTTGGGGCCTCCTGGGCGCCTTCTGGGGCGGAGGGCTCGTCCCGTATTTTTCCGATGTATTCTAGGGAATCGACGATTCATGGTGCCTGTGTGCGTTTGTCTCCCTCCTGACATGGGCCCCCGGGGTGGCTGCTCGCCGTCGGTGCTGCGGGCGCCGCCCCGCCGTGCCCTGTGCGCTTCTCTGCACCTTCGGGGAGGGCCCCTGCTCCTCCTCCTCCTCCTCCTCCTCCTCCTCCTGCTGCTACCGGCTGCGGACACTCCGTCGCCGTTACCTCCTCCTCCGCTCCTCCTCCTCCTCCTCCTCCTCCCCCTCCTCCTCCTCCCCCTCCTCCTCCTCCCCCCCCTCCTCCTCCTCCTCCTCCTCTTCCTCCTCCTCCTACTCTCCCACTCCTCATCCTCCTCCTCCTCCTCCTCCTCCTCCTCCTCCTCCTCCTCCTCCCTCTTCGCCCTCGGCCTCTCCGTGCCCCTCGCACCCTCTCCTCCCTGGGGGGGCAGACCTGCCCAGAGCCGCGGGCCGCACGCTGGCGAGGCCAAGGCCGAGGGGCCGCGGCCGCGGAGCCCGAGGCGGGGCCCGCCGGCGGCTCCCTGCCAGCCTCGGCGGTGGCTCCCAGGCTGCTCCGGCAGCTGCGCCTCGCCCAGAGCGTTCTGGGCAGGGGTCGCCCCCAAACGTGTCGTGCTTCTCGTCTTCGCCGTGCTCTCCCGGTCGTCTCCAACCCGCCCCTGCTGCAGGACGGCGTCGAAAAGAGAACGGCCCCACGAGAGCGCCAAAGCACCGTGCAGGTCGGCCCCTGGTTCCGGGGGTGCCCGCACCATCCCGAGCGGCCACGGGAGGCCCGAGTCACGACCCACAAACCGTCAGAGGGGCGGCGGGGCTTCCCCTCCGCTCTGCGTCCTCGGGGGGCCCGCCCCGTCCTGTGAGCGACTGTCTTTTCGTGTGTTCCGGGGTGGGCTCGGCGCAACTTCGGCGTGAGTTCGACACGGATTCGACGCGAATTCGGTGCGCTCGGCATGGACCCGACATGGATGCGACACGGATGGCTGTCGCGAGACGACAGACGAGGTCCCCTTCGAAAAACAGCATAACCTACCCCCGTCCTGGGGCAACGTTTCCAGAATCGAGGATCAGAGGAGGAACAGGTACCGATAATGTTGTCCTTGCCTCGTTTTCGCCATTTTGAGCCTCGGGCGGCCTTCCCTGTCCTGTAAGCGGCAGTCGTTCAGTGTGCCCCGACCTGACCTCGACGCAGCTTCGACGTGAGTTCGGCACGGATTCGACACGGATTCCACGCGGATTCGGTGAGTTCGACATGGGTTCGACATGGATGCGACACGGATGGCTGTCGCGCTGGGACAGACGAGGTCCCCCCAAAAATGCAACATTACCATCCTACGTCCCGGGGCTTCGTTCGCAGAAGCTAGGATCAGAGGAGGAACAGGCTCATTTGTACAGTAGGAGCCCGACCACAAGAAACCTTCCACAAGACACCCAGTCCTGAGACCCCGGGACGTCCATGGATGTTTGGTGTGGGAACGTCACGCTTTTCATCGCAAAACACCCGAAACCCAAGAAACCCAGGGAG